CAAAACTTCCTCCTTTCTTAGTCCAGCATTGAGTCTTTCTCTGCTTTTGGGCTTAACTGAAATCCGATTCTTCCTGAAAAATAATACCCACTACAGCTTTACTTGTTCTGCATTCCCTCACATTCCATGTACCCTGCCAGGTATCAGTGCCTTTCCCCTCTCCTCAAAGTCATCTGTAAACTATTATTCCTTCACTTTCATGTAAATACACTTATCTCTTTGAAGATATGTAGCATTATATCATAGTATATTCCTCCTATAACAATTTCCACTATTCATTATATTTGGGCACCTGGCTTAGACTTCTTGCCTCCTCACTCCTGCTTTTTCTTCATTCTAGGAAACTTCACTACACATGAAAACTACCCACTTAACATGAATTTTCTGTTCTTTGACTACCCCAACTGAAATAACCTCCCACCACCACCACAGGCCTACTAGCACACCCTGCACCCGTCTTCCCAACCCCTCGAATTCAAAAATCCCTCATTAATCTTTAGCCCTTTGGTCCTTTTACACTTTCTGCTACCAACCCATCTTCCTATCAACCCCCAGGCAGTCTAGACTCTATGGGCCATTACTCCGATCACTTTTGCTGAGTCCTTAACATCTTCACCGTGTCATCCTTTCATCTCACAGAGCAAAACTAATCCTGGACCAGTCAATTGTCTCCCATCTCCACTCCTACAACAAAATGCTGAGTATTGTTACAGAAAATCATTTGAACACTCTAACTTCTGCCATTACAAATTCAGTCTCTAATCTCAACTAGACCCTCAAAGCTACCTGTGCCTCTCAGTTTGCCTGGTGAGTTCTCCATCTTATTCTAGAGTTAATACTCCAGCATTTCTCCACTTTCCTCAAACCTTCCAGTCTAATACTTACCTCTTCAACTTCATTAGATGATGATGCAAGAAAAAAAACAGAAGACATGAGGCAGGTACTTCATCAATTTTATCCTAACACCTTAAAACTTACGTGATAATCACCTTCTTCCTGACAAAATGTTGCAGCTGTGCTTCTAACATCTAAGACACATGTGTCAAACACAAGGCCCGCGGGCCAAATCCGTCTCGCCAGGCCTTGCAATGTGGCCCGCACCGCGCTGTCATCACTGCACTCCGCTGCGTTTCCATCACAATGACAGTTTATGACTGTTCAGTAAACCATTCGGCCCGCGATTTAGGCTGGATTTTAGATTTTGGCCCCTTCTCTGATTGAGTTCGACACCCCTAAAAGACTAAAATCTTATGTGTGCTTGATCTCATCCCTCTGGGTCTTCATAGAGATTTTGCTCTATCATATTTTCGTTCTCATCCTCCCTAACCCTTGGCCCCTCACCAAGACACACAATGCTCACATGATCTCATGTCCTTTCTTATGCATCCAGCTTTAGATTCTTCTTCCCAATTCCTGTTGAACCCACTGTTATATGACTTCTCTCAACAGTATATTAATATGGTTGTTCTTCATGTTAAATGTCTTTTTGCCAAGTCCAATGGCCATTTCAGGCTCATCCTACTGGTTCCTTTGAAAGCCTCACACTTCCATCCGGGCTTTCTCTGCCCTGTTCTGCTTATCCCTTCTTAACGGATCCCCTCCCTCCCTCAGTTTGTATATTAGTGTGCCTCTGAATTCCCCTCTCAGTCCACTTTTTTAGCTATGTGGTTCTGGACAATCTACAGTTCTCAAGTGCCTCTGTTCTCATCACTCAAAATAGGTTAGTCTGCCTGGCGTGGCTTAGAGGTTGAGCATCGACCTGTGATGCATGGGTCACAGTTTTATTCCCAGTCAGGGCACATGCCCAGGTTGCAGGCTCTATCCCCAGTCTGAGGGTGTACAGGAGGCAGCCAATCAATGATTCTCTCTCATCACTGATGTTGAGAAAGAATCTTCCTCTATGAAATCAATAAAAAATATTTTTTTTAAATGTAACCTATTAAGGGTTTAATTTCCAAAATATACAAGAAATTCATACACCTCAAAACCAAAAGATGAATAATCCAATTTAAAAAAATGGATTCTTTCTCTTCCTCTCTCCTTTATAGACCTAAATAGACACTTCTCCAAAGAGGATATACAGATGGCCATAGACATATGAAAAATGCTCAAGGTCACCCATCACCAGAGAGATGCAAATTAAAACTACAATAAGGAATCACCTCATACCAACCAGGATGACTACCATCAATAAATCAACAACAAAAAAACAAATATTGGTGAGGATGTGGATAAAAGGGAATCCTAATGCACTGCTGGTGGAAATGTAGACAGATACAGCCAATGTGGAAAACAATATGAAGGTTCCTTAAAAAATTAAAAATGGAACTTCCTTTTGACTCAGTGATCCCACTTCTGAGACTATATCCTAGGAACCCTGAAACACCAATCAAAAAGATTACTTGGCACCAGTATGTTCACAGCAGCATTATTTACAATAGCCAAAATTTGGAAACAGCCCACGTGCCCATCAGATCAATGGATAAAAAAGCTCTGGGCCGAAACCGGTTTGGCTCAGTGGTAGAGCATCGTCTGCGGACTGAAAGGTCCCAGGTTCGATTCCGGTCAAGGGCATGTATCTTGGTTGTGGGCATATCCCCAATAGGGGGTGTGCAAGAGGCAGCTAATCAATGTTTCTCTCTCATTGATGTTTCTAACTCTATCCCTCTCTCTTAAAAATCAATAAAATATATTTTAAAATATTTAAAAAATAAAAAAAATCTGGTCCCTGTTAGGTATTAACTCCTTCTCTCTCTTATTCCTATCTTCTGCTCATCACATACAAGCCTGAACTAACTGTAGGTCCTCAGATTTACCATGCTATTCTTCCTGCACAGCCCCTCCCTTCTAACCCCCTCTTCCCACCATACACATTACCTCGACTGATACTTTGCTTTACTTTTCCTTTTGGGCACCATTCTTCTAAAAGCCTTCCTAATTACAAGACTGGGTAGGCACACCCCCAACCAGGTCCTTAGCCTTCATACTCTGTTTCCCCGAAAATAAGACAGTGTCTTATATTAATTTTTTCTCCCAAAGTTGCGCTAGGTCTTATTTTTGGAGGATGTCTTATTTTCGGGGAAACACGGGTACTTACCTTCATCTTGGGCTTTAGGTGCTAATCTCATTCTTTACTGTAAGTTCCTTGAGGACAGTGACCATGCCTTGTTTAATACTATACCACTAATGATTAGTATTATGATGGGCACATGGTAGATATTCCAACCTATATATGTTGTATAAGTTATTGAATGTGTACACTCTGTACACCCTTTTAATTAACTACACCTAATTTAAAATACAACACCTAACTAATCATGTCACCAGTTTATACAGCCCTTTAATGTAAAAGGGATTTCTCATTTTCTACTACATGTTCTATAGAAGGAATAATTTGAATACAGATACAACACATTTTGTAAAATACAAGTTACCTTAAATAAGATTAACTTGACTGCCATGTTTTAGGAAAAAAATTAAATTCTTAACGCATAATGAAAAGAGACAATAAAAGGTTTTATTCAAAGGTGTAACTGGGTAAGTTGATTTGTTTACATCCATTCTTGTGAAATATTTCTTAAAAAAATACGACCAACTTCTTTGTAAATAGCAGACACATACCGCAACTATGATGACCTAATTTTTGGTGGATAATGTACATGATTAGGCAGAAATAGGTAAGCTCACACTGGTAGATTAACTATCAAATTCTCAGTCAAAACTCCGTTTGCGGCCCCCACTTCTTGATTGATTTCTATTCCCACTTCGTCTTCGACCATCTTGTCGACTTCCTGACCGACTCCCCTGTTGACTCTGCCTACCTGACCGGCCACCAGATCGACCCCCTGACCGGCCTGACCGGCCTGACCGGCCTGACCAGCCACTCCTTTGTCTGGAATTAGAAGATGTGTTTCCATCATAATATTCTTCGATTTCTGGTAACTTGGCTGGCACTGAGATTATCCAGTCTGAATCATGCCACTCTGCCTGTTGGGGGAATTTACAGGATTAATATAAAGGCAAACTAGAATCCATAAGCAAGCAAATGAGTATAGAACACTCTTCATGCCTATTATCTATTAGCTAAAGTGAAAGTACATGGAACAAACTTAAAAATCAGAGGGGAAAAAACCATATTAAAAGCACTTGCCAGGCTGGTGTGGCTCAGTGGTTGGGCAACAACTCAGGAACCAAGAGATCACCAGTTTGACTCCCAGTCAGAGCACATGTCTGGGTTCCAAGCTCGATCCCTGTGCAGGAGGCAGCCCATCGATGATATTTATCTCTTATTAATGTTTCTCTCTGTCCCTCTTCCTTCCTCTCAGTCTAAAAATCAATAAAAGTATTTTAAAAAAATAAATAAATAAAAGTACATTCATGCCCAGTTGGCGTGGCTCAGTGGTTGAGCATAAATTCCCAGTCAGGACACATGTCCGTGTTGTGGCTGAGTCCCCAGAAGGGGGCATGCAGGAGGCACTTGATCAATGATTCTCTCATCGTTGTTGTTTCTCTCTCTCTCTCCCTTCCTCTCTGAAATCTATAAATAAATAAATAAGTCTATAAATTTCCAAGTTTTACTCTTAGGAGAAACCCTCAGGCCTATTTTGAGACTCTCTATACATTCTAAAAGAGCGCAGTGGCTTCTCTGCATAAAACACATAGGCCATTAATAAGTAGAGCATTGCTTTCAGCAAGTATATTGATAGAAGCAAGGAGTACGAAGCTGATGATGGAGATTAAAAACGTGTAAGCACCATCTAGAGACTAGGAAAATATGGCCAGTGGAATCAATTTGGTATTAGAATAAACAACTCAACATACACAAATCAGCAGCTCATAAGAGCATCAATATCATATCCTGCAATAATAACTGTTCTTCATTGTGATCATAAATTGCCAAGGAAAGTTAATATTAAAATACCTGTTGGTAAGAGTGAGTAGACAAACACCCACACACACCATTGGTGGTAATATATAACCAAAGCCTTAAAAATGTGCAAACCATTTGGCCAAGCAGTCATCTTTAAAAATTCATCTTAAAGAGATAAACATAGCAATGTATAAAGAGTTAGCTACAACAACATTGTTTATAACAATATACTATGGGAAATAATCCAAATGTCAGAAAATAGGACACTGTGTATAGCTGACATAGAAATGTATTCACAGTACATTCTGAATTTTTAAAAGACTTGAAATACAGAACAATCCCCTCTTGTTTCAACGTATGTATATAAATATGCACAGGGATGCAATAGACAAATTCTACACTATAATTATTCTCTTTCTTCAACAGATAAAATATAAAGAAATTTTTTTAAAAGACAAAAGAGGGAGAACCTATAGATTAAAAGAGACTTAAGAAACATCAAATTACAATGTATGAACCTTATGGACCTTACATTAAAAAGTATTTAGGCCAAAACCGGTTTGGCTCAGTGGAGAGAGAGTCGGCCTGCGGACTGAGGGGTCCTGGGTTCGATTCCGGTCAAGGGCATGTACCTTGGTTGTGGGCACATCCCTAACAGGGGGTGTGCATGAGGCAGCTGATCGATGTTTCTCTCTCAATGATGTTTCTAACTCTCTATCCCTCTCCCTTCTTCTCTGTAAAAAATCAATAAAATATATATATTTTTTAGTATTTAGGAGATAATAGGGAAAATTTAAACACAAATTGAACAGTGTCATGGAATTATTATTTTGGGGATTTAATTATGGCATTATGATTATTTTTTTAAGTATCCTTAATATTTAAGTATATGGAAATATTTGCGGTTGAAATGACAGAATACATAAAACTTGTTTCAAAATTCTAGGAGAGTGAGGAAGTGGACGGAAGTAGGCATGAGACAAAATTAGCCAGAAGTTGATAATTGTTGAAGCTGAATGATAGGTATGAGGATTTTTATGCAATTCTATTTTTTATATGTTTGAAATTAGTTATAAAAAGTGTTTTAAATTATTATATAGAATGGATATTTTATAGCAAAGAATTGTTAATTGACTTAAGGCATGATAAATATACTGTTACTATGTTCTTAATCCCTATCTTATAGAGAAATATACTCAACTATTGAACAGATAAAAATTTTTAAGTACCTGTAACCTTTCTGACTCAGTTGTGGGAACATCAAAGCAAACACCCTAAAGACAAAATGAAAAAATTTTATTTAGATTCATGAGTTGATTTTTTTCTTAATATGCTAATACTTGCTAATAATCTCTATATTCGCTAAAACAAAAAGATTAGGTGTGTCCCATGATTGCTTATAGGATTAAAACAGCTAATACATAATAATGCATGATAGAGAGTGCCTGCTTATTTTATTTTCTAAATCAGAAAAATAACTAAACACAATATCTAATAAGATCTACTACCACTGAAAGTCTATCGCATTCTTTAGAAAAGCTTTTGTAGACTTGCTGTTCCATGTCCTTTATAAAATGACCTGTTTGATAGTCATTTCAAAATTTAGTGCCAGTCCTGGCTAGTGTGCTAAGTGTCGGCCCGAGCACCAAAGGGTCTTGTGTTAGACTCCTGGTCAAGGGCACCTACCTGGGTTGCAAGTTCTATCCCAGGCCCTGTGAGGGCACATGTAGGAGGCAGATAATTGATGTGTCTCTCTTGCATTGATAATTGTTCTCTCTCTCCCCACTTTCCCTCCCAGCTTCTCTTCCTTGAAATTTATAAATAAACTTGACCTTCTCTGAAAATCAATGGAAGAAAATATCCCCAGGTAAGGATTAACAAAGATTAATTAATTAATTGCCAGAAAGTTTCTCTCCTAAAGAGCTGCAGTGTTTATCAGATAATGAGAATGATATATCCCAAGATGTTTCCTCCTTGATCTTGATTGCCAGTTAAGGTGAAAATTAACTTAATACTCAAGTATAACAACTAGTTTTGCCTAAGGATCTTGTTATATTTTCCCTCCTCTCCACATTTTTTTCTGAATGTGTATATTTGTCTCATAATTGCCACAAACCCTTTTTGAACGGAAGTAATATTAAATTCTGATAATTACTTCCAATAAACAATCAAGTTAATAAATTCTAGCCTAAAATGAAGCTCTGCAGTAAAATTAGATGAATAAATATAACATCTTTTCTCAAAACAATTAGAAGACATCAGTCACTAAAATTACAGATGGTTTTAACTTTGCTATTTCATAAATGTATTAAAATATTTAATGCACTTCATTATCCACATTAACAACCAATATTACTGGTCTGGCTCAGTGAATAGAGTGTAGGCCTGCGGACTGAAGGGTCCCAGGTTTGATTCCAGTCAAGAGCATGTCCCTCGGTTGTGGGCACAACCCCAGTAGGGAGTGTGCAGGAGGCAGCTGAATCCATGTTTCTAATTCTCTATCCTTCTCCCTTCTCTCTGTAAAAAATCAATAAAATATATATATATTTTTTTTCTAAAAAACAACCAATAGCAGGCCACTCAAAAATTAATATTGCCTATTTCCTAAATAAGTTATTTCATAAATTGCTTCATATTAGAAAATAAACACACACCACACAATAAGTATATATGGGCAGAAACTTAAATAATTTGGATATTAGGTAGTCAAAATAAGAATAACTTACAGTTTTCTAGAGTAATAGGTTTTTTAAATAATTGCCCAAAAATTTACAACAAAACAAATTCATCCCATAAGGCCCAATAAAAGAAAGAATGAACAAAACTTGCTGGTCTTTATATATATTTTTAGTTGTCTAGAAAAGCCTACCATATTTCCTTTCAGGAGGCACATTCTGGTAATTTGGGATAAAGCATTACTACTCAGTTTTCTGTTAAGTTCTTTCCAAGCACAGCTGACATCCTGTATTTCTTCTGGGCTTTCCAGAGTCATGGTCACAAACCCCTTAAGGAATAAAAGTTACATTATGTTTATGGAAAAAGCAACAGCAGCAGTGGGAACAATGACGTCCTAATTCAATGAAGTTCATGACTTAAACATGCCAACTTATGAACCGACAATATAACATAACTGCTAAAAAAATAACTTCTTTGAAGCTATATTAATAGAAGATGAGGGTTTACAGATCATTGATAGTACCATTCTCTATGCATTGCTATGAAGACAAATTTAATTCTAACCATCATGCTTTAAGATATAAATAAACTAGAGCATCAGAGAAAAGGTAGTAAAGAATTAGGGAAGTCAATTCTGAAAGAGTCCAAGTTTGCATGGAGTAGAAAAATAAGAGGCTATAAACTCCTTAAACTTTGTAGGGACTATTACATAAACAAGACTTACTTGTTCTGTAAAATTTCACTGTACAGGAAAAGGATCAACATAAAGAATATATATGGAGGCATTCATTTAACAAATATTTCCGCACTCTCTGTATGTGTTTCAAAGACTCTAAAAGGCGCTAGAAATTCAGCAATAAATAGCCCTTTCTCTCATGGAGGTTACATTTGTAGTGTGTGAGGAGGAAGAAGGGGGCTGATGGAATGCAACAGACAGTAAACAAATAAGAAAATATACAGAATGTCAGATAGTAATAAGCACCATAAAGAAAAGTAAAGCAGAGCAAGGGAATAGAGGGTAAACCAAGCTATTTTAGGGTGATCAAGAAAGTCCTCTCTACTAAGGTGATATTTGAAGAGAGACCAGAATGAAGTGAAGGAGGAAGAGAAGGTTATTAAAAGGAATGAACATTTGAAACAATGCAAGTAAGTACAATGGCCTTGGGTAGGGGTAGGTTTAAGTAACAGCAAGTAGGTTAGGCCCTAAACTGAAACAAGCAAGAGGAGAGTGATAAGAGGTAGCAAGGGAAAGACACCCTGTAGGACATTTGTGGTAAAGGCTTTGGAATTGATTAACCTATAAAGAAATTTTAAATTACTAACACCCTGTTTCTAAGATATTCTAGACTTTTATCTAGACAACTAACCAACTCTTTTAAAAGATCAATAAAAATGATGGGCAAACAGTCCCAAATTAAAAGAGAGACATGAGCCGAGGTCGGTTTGGCTCAGTGGTAGAGCGTAGGTCTGCGGACTGAAGAGTCCCAGGTTCGATTCCGGTCAAGGGCACGTACATCAGTTGTGGGCACATCCCCGGTAGGGGGTGTGCAAGAGGCAGCTGGTCGATGTTTCTCTCTCATCGACGTTTCTAGCTCTCTATCTCTCTCCCTTCCTCTCTGTAAGAAATCAATAAAATATATTTTTTTAAAAAAATAAAAGTCATGAATAACCAAATCTTATCTGATAAAAGAGTAATATGCAAATTGACCATACCCCTGCTATACCACAAGTCACGCCCACCAGTCACACTCATCAGCCAATCAGAATGAATATGCAGATTAACCCCAACCAAGATGGCTGCAGCCACAGAGAGCAAGTGGGAGGCTTGGGTTTCCAGGCAATGGAAGAAGCCAAGCTTTCCATCTGCCCTGGCCAGTCTAAGCCTCTACTCAAGGCTATAAAGTTTCAATTATAGAAGGTAAACAAATCTAAACAGAAATGGCAGCAGTCACGGAGCAAGCAGAAGGCTTGGCTCTGCTCCAGACTACAAAGTTTCAATTGTAGAAGGTAAATAAATTCCAGATGCCAGGGCCTCCGCTTGGGTGGCCAAGGCAGTGGGGGAAGAAAGGGGGCGTGGGTGGCCTGCAAACCACCACAGGCCCCTCGCCAGGCACCCCATGCCCCGAAAGAACTCCCACACTGATCCAGGACACCCTTCAGGGCAAACTAGCCGGCCCTGACCCATGCACCAGGCCTCTATCCTGTCTAATAAGAGTAATATGCAGATTGACCATCACTCCAACACACAAGAACAAGATAGCTGCCCCCATGTGGTCAAAGATCCTGCCCCCATGTGGACACAAGATGGCCAGCAGGGGAGGGCAGTTGGAAGGGACCAGGCCTGCAAGGAAGGGCAGTTGGGGGTGATCAATCCTGCAGGGGAGGGATGACTAGGCCAGCAGAGGAAGGAAGTTGGGGGCAAACAGGCTGGCAGGGGAGCAGTTAGACATTAATCAGACTGGCATGGAAGTGGTGAGGGGGTAATCAGAATAGCAGGCAGAAGTGATTAGGGGCAATCAGGAAGGCAGGCAGGCGAGCAGTTGGGAGGATTGTGAGGGGGATGTCCCACTATCCTACTAGGATCGGGCCTAAACAGGTAGTTGGACATCCCTCAGGGGTCCCAGATTGAAGAGGGTGCAGGCTGGGCTGAGGGACACACACACCCTTGTGCACGAATTTCATGCATTGGGCCTCTAGTATAATATATAAACTCTAATCAGAACCTAATTTTTATTTTAAAAAAAAAATAGCCAAAACCGTTTGGTTCAGTGGATAGAGCATCGGTCTGTGGACTGAAAGGTCCCAGGTTCGATTCTGGTCAAGGGCATGTACCTTGGTTGCGGGCACATCTCCGGTAGGAAGTGTGCAGGAGGCAGCTGGTCGACGTTTCTCTCTTATCGATGTTTCTAGCTCTCTATCCCTCTCCCTTCCTCTCTGTTGAAAATCAATAAAATATATTTAAATATATATATATATAATAAAAATTTTATATATATATACTTTTTGTAAAAAGTATATATATATAAAAAATTATATATATATATATATATATATATATATATATATATATATATATATATGAGGAATAGGAAGAGAGAGGGGGAAGGGAGGTATAGAGTTGGGCAATTAGTAAGTCACTCTTGCAAAATGACATTTGGCTAAATCATTAACACCTGCCAAGTGGAAACCATCAGATGATTGAGCTGTACCCACTTAAGCTACACCAAGTAAGTCACATGCAGGTTTATCACCCCTGCGCCTTTGTTTCCTTCTTCCACCAACTCTCTCTGTCTCTCTCTCCACCCAGACATCAGAGAGCTCTTTTTTGATGGGTTCCCTCACCAGGGACTCCCCTCACTTACATCATAACATAAGTGAACTACTTGCAACTAATGTTTCTGGAGTGGTTTGTTTTGATATCTGATACAGACATGGCAGGGGGCCAGATCAGATGACATCTCACACACACACACACACCACCCACATATACAAGCAATCCTTAATTTGCATGGTACTATGTTAACATCACAGACTACTTCTCGATTTGCATAGTTTCATGGCAATTTAAAAAATGAACAGGATTTAGCCGAAACCAGTTTGGCTCAGTGGATAGAGCATCAGCCTGGGGACTGAAAGGCCCCAGGTTCGATTCCAGTCAAGGGCATGTATAATACCTTGGTTGTGGGCACATCCCCAATAAGGGGTGTGCAAGAGGCAGCTGATCAATGTTTCTCTCTCATTGATGTTTCTAGCTCTCTATCCCTCTCTCTTTCTCTTTGTAAAAACTCAATAAAATATATATTAAAAAAAAAAAATGAACAGGATTTGGTTTGCAAATTTCAGTTAAGAAAGTGTCAGGCAAAGTGAAAATTTCCTGTATTCCTTTCCAGATAGCTAGCTAGCTATGGTTCAATTTTAACCTTTTCTCAAGCATATCCATTTTCTTATAGATTTCTACCTTATCAGAAGTAATCAAAGATCGTGGTTCAAAACTCGATGCACCGGAGATATGGGCTAATGCTGCAGCCAATGCGTCCACCGCCCCTTTCTCTTCTATCAGCCTCTGAGCTGATGGGCGGAAAAAGTCAACAGCAGCATAAGAAACCGAAGCCAGGGACCTGTAGTTTAAAAATAGCAAATTTTCTTGGTCAAGGCAAAGGGGAAAAATTAAAGATAAGAGAATGAATGGGAAAAGAAAGAGCAACGTTTTTATATTTTAATATAACTAAGTATCTGCTGGTAAAACTGGTGATTAAATTTTCTGATTTTTGAACTAGGAGAGCTTAAAGATGAATAGCCTAACACAAAAGAAAAAATTATTCAGCAAGGTCAGAAAGCATACCTGATGGCATCCATGCTTTTAGATTTAACTAAATCCATTGTAGAAGGAACACCTACACGTTTAAAAGTAATTCCCTGAAAATGAAAGAATTACATTAAAGAAAAATGGAAGTCTTTACAATTAATTTCTAAATTAATATCGCTTTTTGAATTTCCATTTCCTGGATGAGATTTCCAAGCCCTAGCAGATCGAAAGATCTGCTTTTTCAAATAAATCACCAATTACAAAATCTAGAAAAAGAAAAGAGATTTTCTGAATTGGCCCTTAGTTACAAACATGGAATCCTACTGCAAACTTAAGCTGATTCAAAAAAAGGAAAATGATGCTGTTTACACCTATGAATCTTTTTCTTATTACCCTATCTAATTTTACAAAGTATATTAAATAGTGTATAAAAACACATCATAAAAAATAAAAAATGTGAAATACCATAAAAAATCCATAATTACTCAATATAATCTTAACAATTACACCAAAACAATGTCATAGTCACCATTATAATGCTGGACTCAGAGATAATTAAATCATAATGCCCTTCTGATTTTAGCATCAAGGGAGAAATTCAAGGGAAAAATGAAAGTCAGATTTTCTGTCTTCACAATAAACGTGTATGAAAACAAAGACTTGCAGCTAATATATATTTAGCTCTCCACATGCTTCACATCCAAATGCAGCTTAAACTGAGAAAAGTTATAAAGATCTATTTGTGAGAACAAATGTAAAAAGAACTCTTTTCAGATAATAAGCCTGAAATAAATTAACTCTACTTACTGCTTTTTGTTCCACATATCTTAGTTGACCTCTTTCTCTTGGTTGATAAAAACATATGCAAATTCCTGTCCGGCCAGCTCTACCTGTGCGTCCAGAGCGATGAATATAGGACTCAACATCCTAAAAATAAGAGGTAATACTTTTTTAAAATTTAGCAAGTTACACAGTCAACCCAATATCCAAATAATAATGCTAATAACAAAACTACTACTACCAATAATAATAACTCAATTCTGTTACTTTTTCTAACATCCCAAAAAATTTATGCAGAATTTTGGGACACGAGGGATATGATCTTAAACCTTATCTAAAATTTAAAAAAATAAAATAAAAAATAAAACCTTATCTATCCCATTCCAGGATTCTTTATATGGCAACTGTTTAATAATTCCCTTTATAAATCCATGCTTCACATACAAATAATAAAGTTAGCAATTTGCAAAGACATCGGATTCTAGTCAATTTAACACCACAGTGACAAAAATGGCTAAGACAAGAACAGATAACTTTTTCATATCCAAAAGCAAAATTTTCCACACACAAAAAAGTCAATTTATACAACTGTTCTTTTCTTCAAATCCAATCTCATTCCCTACCTGTGGAGGAGAGCTCTGAATCACCAAGTCAACCTCAGGAATGTCCAAACCTCGGGCAGCCACATTGGTTGCTACCAAAACTTTAAAACTACCTTCTCTGAAGCCTTTCAGTGTAATTTCTCTTTGTGACTGTGCAATGTCCCCATGTAAACACTGGGCATTCTATTAGGAGAAAAGGGAAAAGTAAGTGTACAATTCATACTTACAATTGATAGCACCCTAACACCATACATTCTGTGTTTTGTTATTGTTTATCTTATTGCTAATCACTGTAATGCATATTATTTTTCAAAACACTATTACTGAAAACCTTTCCTTAAAATCCTCCTCCTACTAGATTGTCACGAGTTAGAGCGAGGCCGGCCCGCCGCCCAGCCGCCTCCTCGCCCGTGGCCACCCCTGCCGCCCCCATCTCCTCGGGTCCCCCCAGATCTCGGAACTGCTTCCCCAGGATGGAGACATTCTTTTGTACCTTGCTCCACTTCTAGAGTTCTAAGAAAGCTTATTTATTAGCGATTTAACCTCGCTCTGCAGACAGGATTTCAAGCGTTAACTTTGGTCTTCTGTATTCGGGACTAAGTACTAATTGACTAGAGTGCTGTAAACTTGCTGTAACATTTATGGCAATTGCAAAGTTGCCCTGCTAGGCGGTCTTAATCTGGCATTAACTTATTTTCTATATCCAGTTTAATATGAAGCCGGTGTGGCTGCCATGCCCCCGTGATGCATTAGGTCTCTAATAAAGTCTGTATATAAATGTAAAAAAAAAAAAATCCTCCTCCTACTAATTCACTGCTAGTAGTTAGGTGAATATTCCTCCAGAAGTTTTTTTTTAATACACACACTGCCCTAGCTGGTTTGGCTCAGTTGGTAGAGCATTATACCGTGGACTGAAGAGTTCGGGGTTTGATTCCAGTCAAGGGCACGTACTTTGGTTGCAGGCTTGATCCCTGGCCCTGGTTCGGGGCATGTGTAGAAGGCAACCAATCGATGTGTCTGTCTCACACCAATGTTTCTCTCTCTCTTTCTCTCCTCTACCTTCCACTCTCTCTAAAAATCCACAGAAAAATATCCTCGGGTGAGGATTAACAAAAAGCAAACACACACACCTCACATATATTAGCATGTTCTATAATTTTATGTACTTACTTAAAAGTAGGGATCATACTATAATTATATTTATATACTGTTTTGTAACCTGCTTTATAAATTATTAGCCATTTTTCCACATCTATAACTCAATTTTTAATTTTTAGAATTTAGTGACTTTCTATTTTTTAATACCTGTGTGTGTGTGTGTGTGTGACCAAGAGCAATACCAAAATATATTCTAGTATAACTACTGACTTTTATAGAAAAAAAGTATTTTGTGTTTAGGCAAAAGACCAAAATCACTCATAAGGGGAAAAAAGTCTGACTGGCATCAGACACACATATTTATTGATTTCAGAGAGGGAGGGAGAGGGAAAGAGAGCTAGAAACACCAATGATGAGGATCATTCATTGGCTGCCTCCTGCACGCCCTCCTACTGGGGATCGAGCTCGCAGCCCAGGAATGTGCCCTTGACTGGAATCGAACCCAGGACTCCTCAGTCTGCATGCCAACGCTCTATCTAGACCAGTGGTCGCCAACCTTTTGGACCTTGTGGACCACTGGTTGGTGACTGCTGTTCTAAACCATCTAGGGCAGTGAGTTTTTAGAGAGACAGAGAAACACTGATGTGAGAGTGCAACCTTGATCTGCTGCAACATTGATTAACTGCCTCTCCCATCTGCGATTGAGCCCACAACCCAGGCCTGTGCCCTGGACTGGGGGTCTCCTAGTAGATAGGACAACACCTAACCAACTGAACCACACTGGCCAGGGCCTTACTTAATTTTTAAAAACTATATATATATGAT